TTTCCCAATTGGGTTTTTCTGGCAAGCTTTTAATGAGGCAGCAACAGAAAGCATACTATGAAGGAAGTTTCAACAGCAAGAATAAGATCTTTTTTATGACAGGGCAGACAAGCAAAGGATCACCACAAAGTAGTTAGATAATCCTTTTCTCGGTAGCAAAGTTCATATCGGGAAATTAAGTTTGCTATCAAACAAAGATTACTCGACCGTTTACAAGTGCAAGACGCTAGGTGATTGTTAGACAGTCTTTGGCTCGATAACATAAATTTCTAAGGGGAAGTGAAGTTTGTTACCGAACTGAAGACTATCTAGTAATTCATTAGTGAGATCCTCGAAGGTGTAAAACTTCCAGTGTTCAAACACACATTCGTCGCAGTTGAACATTGGGGGGAATGATATAAGGATACGACAGCAATGACTGCCGCTTCGATCGGAATACGAAACCCGAAAATATAGTTGCATCATTGGGACCGAGGACTGCGCGACCAACTTTGTAGAAACAAGTTGTGCAAGTTAGCCAGAAGAAATGGCAATTCTTTTTAGCACAACGAATACTTATTACTTTTGAAAATGGAAGGAATAAAGTAAAGTCCTTTTATTTATATCTTGTTTCTTGTCTGAACGATTAATCAGTTTTATCATTTGAAAGTTAAACAAGTACTTCAAATGCTAGTGTCGTAATGAACAAGAGATGTCCTCTTCAAAAGCACCATAAACATAAGAGGGCCCTCTCTTATAAAAACCCTCACGTTAAAGGGATGATTTCGGAAGAACCTATGCCCAAAATCCAAATTATTTCGGGGAAAATACACCCAAAGCCTTGCACGACAAGTTGCAAAAAGCAAACTTGCGCAAACACTTAAACAATAAACGGCAAAAAATAAACTTGCGCAAATACTTAAGTGAAAAGTACGCAAAGACTTGCACAAATAAAAAGTGTGCAAAGAGGAAAATTTGCACAATACTTAAGCAAAAAAGTGCTCCTATTCACAGCAAAAGCAATACGGATACAAAATCACGGAAAACAAAACAAAAAACTAAGCTACTGCATCTCTGGGACCTAGAGGAAGAGAAGTATCTACACCCTCAAGAGAAGTGGATGGATCCATTGTCGGCTCATCATTTTGGCCTTCGGCGTCATCACTTTCCATTTCTTCTTCAGTTCCCGAGAACTCAAAATCGGAACCAGAAGAATTGGTAGCATTGGGCTAGGCCGGTAGACCTCCTTTTGCAGCTAACTTCGTCTCAAGAGCCTTAATGATTTTGGCGACAAAGTCAATAATACCCGCTTTGGTCTTTTTCAAGGTTTTTCTCCTCATGCTATACATAGAATGCGTTTTCTCAATAATGAGGGAAGCCGCTCGGTGCTGAAGTTCTTTTTTAAGTTGGTCAACCTCGGCAGAAAGACTGTCCCGCATAGATCTGGTGGTCCGGAGGCTAACATCAAGGTCACCAACAGTTGGGCTAAAAACATTGTTATGTTATGTGATCCTCTTATGCCTTTCCTCCAACTGAGCATATTTATCCTCAGCAACAATAATTTCTTCAGTTATATAGTGTAAGGCCGCCTCCAAATTATTCAATCTTTCTATGGAAGCAGCCTCACGATCGGATGCAGTAAGAATGGCATTTTGAACCACAACTCGTTTGGCCTTAGCTTCTTCAAATTGCACCCTAAACTGGGCAGTCTCTTGGCCAAGGCTCACTACATCTTGCTCACTTTGCTTCAACCGAGCCTCCGACACAAAAGTTGGTCCCGCTAGACCAAAAGTTGATCCCGCTCGGAGGTAAGTTCCTCCTTATCTCGAATTAACCTTTGGAGGCCCTCAGAAGCAAGGAAATTGGCCTTCGAAACAAAAAAGACAAACTCAAAATACTACTATATCAAAGATAGAAGAGATAAAGAAGGGAACGAAGAATATACCGTTGCGGCATTATGCATAGCATTGTTCAACAAACACTTTCCCGAGAGAGCTTGTATCTTTTCCCTATTCTTTTCTGAAGACAAGGGCTTCAGATAGTTAGCAAGTTCCACCAGTCGGGACAACAGATTGCATCAGGTGGAAACCAAGAGAGTAATGCTCCTCCTCCGTTGCGGATCTTCTAAGGGGCGGCATAATTTTTCCCTAAGTTCCCATGTACTAGGGAGTGGGGGAGATATGAACATCCTCTTTTCGGACAGACGTGGCCGGTGGAGATGATATATCAGGTGTTGGTGGTAAAGGAAGAGTTGGTAAAGAAGGAGATAATGTTGATGGTGTTGAAGGCTGAGAAGTGGTTGCGGAAAACACAGTGCTGGTTGTTGGTTGCTCGTCAACCGAAGAGGGTAGGAACCCGGTACTCAGCCTCACGGTACCAGGTGCAACGACTAGGATCCAAAAACAGGATTTGGCATTTTCCACCATCTCAAACTCACCCCTAGAGCACCGAGGCATCGTCCTCGGTTAGTGTAACTAACTCAACAGATTGAGCGTTCTGTAGTTGATGAAGGTCACCGTCTTCTATGGAGAGAAACCCCCTCATCACTAGCTTCTTCATCATCATCATTAACCACGTATCTATGGTTGGCTTGGGCACAAAGCTCGACTCCATATCATCTGAAGACGATTCGGGCACGACACTCCTTGCCCTTTTATTTTTTCCCTTAGTCGCAGAGGAACGTCTCTTTTTTGGTTGCTTGTTCTTCGGCTTTAGACTCTGAAAAGAAATACTTGCACCCGAAGTAGGCCCGGAGACGCATGTTCGAGTAAACGCCTCTTGAAGCAACCTCATCGCATCAGCAAGATTAGCCAAAATATCCTCCTTGGGGACAACAACTGAGCCTTGTGGAATTTAGCAAAAAGAGAAAGGATTAATCAACTTTCTCACACGAAAATTAAAGGCGAGATGAGTCCAATTTACCATGATTTTTAGCATTCCACCCGTATTTAAGGGCCAATTCTTTCCACGCGTAGGTCTCGAGCGTAGTGACGTCCACTGGTCCAAGCCTTTACCCTAGGTGGTACCCATCGAGTTGATGAAACATACGAAAGAAAAAGGGTCAATAATGATATGAGATGATCTTTAATAAAAGAAAAGTTAAACGAGGAACTTACGAGTGCGGTTCTATGATTCCATAAAGGATGAAGCCGCTGCCAAAATGATATCATTAGTGGCGACTGCAATGAACCGTTCCATCTACCTACGGTCGTTGTCATCATCCATGCTAGATAGTAAAGCATGATGGCCATACTTGCTGAATTTACCATTCCCACGGAAGATCTTGGGGGAATAGAGGTTCATCACTCGAGCTAGGGATAACTCCTCTCCTATCTCCTGGCACAAGCACCGAAGACAAGCGATTGTCCTCCACGCAGAACATCTTACTTGTGCCAGGCACATCTAGTAGCGGAGGCAGAGCTCCATGATGATGGAGTCAAGCTCTCCACTCAAAGAAAACGCTCCCAAAGTGAAGGGACACGTATAAAAATACGTAAAACCCTTCTTGGGCAAGGTTACCTGCTCCACCAGATCAGAAGCGATAATGTCTAAATCTTGGCAATGACAGTCTTCCTTCACAGCAGGAATGTTAGAAGGACAGATGGAAGAAGGGTATCTACCAACGACCCATGTACGAGGGTTAGCAGAAGGAAATTTCTCTTCGAAGTCTTTAGTTGTGACAAGACTTCTGGGGATGAAGGTGCTCACCGTAGGAGGAGGAGCCTCGTCGACTTTACCTTTATTTTTTTAGAAACTATAGTTTTTGGAAGAAGAAGCCATTTGCTATTGGAAAGGGAGGAAACTTTTCTCTCAAAAAGAAGATCAAAGAAGGGTTGAAGACAAAGTACGAAGTTGAGTAAAGAGGGGTTTGAGAAAGTTCGATAAATTAAGAAGTGTAAATGAAGGAGTTTGATGCGTATAAGTAAAGATATAGATGGCTAAAATCATAGCCATAATTACCTCGATAACTATCAAAAGTGATGCTAAATCATGGGGTGAAGCGTGTTCGGTGCATTAAATGCGGAGAGACGTGCGTCTAATCAACCGTCAGAAAATTTTTCAGAGAGGGTCAATGAATTTCCCACCAAAGAAGGTGTTTCTACCAACTTCCTGGTGACAGTTACGCCACCGGAAAACAGGGGGACTATCTGTATAGGGTAAAATATGTTTATATTAAATGATCGCATGAGGAAGTGACATGTGGAGCCGAAGACAGAAGATATTTGAATCCGAAGGCGACCCGTCTGTTACTAGGGAGAATGATACTCACAGAGATGAAATTAATGCCTGCCACCTGGTAGCATTTAATGAGGAATATTTTATAGCATTAAGTACACGACCAGTTACAATGAATATGTCATTCACTGCATGCCGTTACACATTCTTCAATGGCCCTCATAATTGACATTGAAGAGAGGCTTGATCCTAGGACCTTATTCCCTAGGAGCAGCTCTAAATAGTGAGCTCTATCATCATTGTAAATGACACGAATTTTCTGGCAAATACATGCTACATTATATTCAAAGCTCAATATAATTTTTATCTTCTTGTTTTATGATATCGTTGATATTGTACCCGGAAGCCCTGCTCCCGCAATTACTATTTTTGCTATTTTATCTCCATCTCAAGGCTAAGTATCATATTTTTAACTAATTCATCTATTTATTTTAGGATCAAATTAATTCACTTATCTATAAATAACGTATAATTTAACTGTACCGTTTTACGGGTAAACAATATTAAATATCCTTTACCTTTGAGAAAATTTCTGGTTTCGTCACTAACGTTAGTATCACCTCATAGTTTAAAGCATTAAACTTACAAAAAATAAATAATTTAAGGGGGGATTTTAGGTATACAAATGTATGCCCTTAATATTCAGGTAGAGGTGTCAATTTATATTTAAAGCCTAAACAATTACTCCCATCCCATGGAAAGAAATGCAAAAAAGACAAAGAAGAACATGTACCAGCCGTCAAGCCAAAAGTACCATCCTTCATTATACAGAGCTATTTAGACCTGGCATTTCAAAATCAACCTAAATCCCATCATAATTGGAGTACATTTTTCTAATCTCTGGTAGTCTGATGATCTCCTCTCTCTCTCTCCATAGATGTACTACTACCGTAAGACCACCTCTGCATTAGTTTTAAAGGTCTGCAAAACGTGGACAAAATCACTGCTGACTTCCGAGGTTCTTGGTAACACTTGTATTAAGCTGCAGCAGCAGAAACACTGTTTCGTAGCTCAAGCTGGTATTCCCCCATTTCCAGAATACTCACAAATTCACAATCTTTTGTTTTTCTTTTTTGTTTAAATTTCTGCCCAAATGGTTTCTGTTCATATTCTTGGAGGAACTTTTGTGTTTTCTTGATTGAACTTGTTGTTTTGGTTGTATGATGGACTTTTCCCGTTGGTCCAACTGGTTTTGCATGATTTATTAGTCTTTCATTTTTGGTTGGAAGTGAAGTAACCGGTAAAGTCGTCGTTTCATGTAACGAGGAGGTTGGTTCGAGCCGTCGAAACAACATATTGGTAGCTTAGTGTATCGGACTGCCTTTTTTTCGGTTGGCAATGGAAGGGAGTCTGTGGTTCTGGAAGATGTTTAAGAGTGTCACTTTCTTCTCTCTCTTTTTTTTGGATGATCCACCGTTCAAAACTCTGTGGATAATGGACTTACCCCTTTATTCTTCTTCACTTAAATACGGGCTTTTGTCTGTGGCAGGTCCGAACTGGTGACATCACCTAACCCATATATCACATGTTGTACTCTTATCACTAGACCAAAGCCTTGGGGGCAGGAGATGTGTTGTATAAACAGAAAGCAAGACACAAGGATTCAGTCATGGCTTACTATCTAATCAATTAGACTAAAGGGCTCTTTTTTCTAAACTTTTGATGGTTCTTTTTTAAGTCTCTGGTTGAATGAGAAAATCCTGTCTCCTTAGGTTTCTGGTTCTCGTTTAATAAGATCTTCTTTATCTATAGAGTTGTGATGTAAGAAAGTCTATAAGTAGGACACAAGTCTCACTAGTTTTATTGAAATTATTATGTGGAATATTACATTTCCATGTAGATCAAAGATGCATAAATACAGATTAATCGGAAATGCCATAACATAGAAAAACTGACGAGAGAGATTAAAACAATAGCCTAGGAAACAAAAAGTGCAATTGAGTCTATGGCATGTTGGTGTAACCGTTTCGTTTGTCATTGTGGAATACACAGTTAGTTGAAGCAATCTGTGAGATCTATACTTTGATCTCAGTCTTTGCTCTTGAACAAGCATATGACTTGATCACATTCTGTCTCCATTCTCTTGTATATCATGACGTGTATACATGCTTTGATAGGATTTTTTACCTTCCCTCTCTTTTACAATGTCCTTCCAGTTATTGGAAAGGGATTGATTACAATATGCTGCTAGGATAATAATGTGTTTTTTCAAACAATGTGTATAATATTCAATCTCAGATGTACTATGGATATAGAGCGAAATATATTTATACTTGCATTTGCCTATTCATTTAGGTGCAAACGCATCGCCAGAGGTTCAGAAAATGGGTGATAATAGTAGCAGTCACGTTACCCGTGTTCTTTTTTGTGGGCCTCACTTTCCTGCTTCTCACAATTATACAAGAGAATATTTGCAAGGCTATCCATTTGTACAGGTATTACTTTCTTGCTTTTACTTATTTCTTCTTTGCATGAGACATAATATTGACTCCAATTCAAAGTTATTCAAGCAAATGTGACTCTTCAGGCATCCATAGGGAAAAAGCAAGACAGGTTGAATTAAAATCTTGTTGGCCAGGAGGTTCATAAAGCAACAAAGGAATCTTGATGAGTGGTTGAAAAGCAATTGCATAACTATGTGCTGATGCGACACATACAAGGGGAGGTGCCGTGGTGTATGCTATTTGCTAATGACATAGTTTTGATTGACGAGACACGAGGCAGAGTTAACACTAGGTGGAAGTTTGGAGACAGACGCGGGAGTCTAAAGGTTTCAAGTTGAGTAGGTCAAAAACTGAGTACTTGGAGTCTTGGAGTGCAAGTTAAGTGATGGGATGCATGAAGAAGAAGTGGAAGTGAAGATTGGTACTCAAGTCATCCCCAAAAGAGATAGTTTCAAGTATCTTGGGTCTATTACTCAAGGCAACAAGGAGATTGACGAATATGTTACTCATCGTATTAAAGCGTGGTGGATGAGATGGAGGCTCGCATCCGACGTTTTGTGTGATAAGAATGTGCCACCTGGACTTAAGGGCAAGTTCTACAGAGTGGTGGTTAGACCGACTATGTTGTATAGGGCTGAGTGCTGGCCTGTCAAGAAGTTCCATGTCCAGAAGATGAAAGTAGCTGAAATGAGGATGTTGAGATGGATGTGTGGGCATACCAGGAAAGACATGATTAGGAATGAAGCTATTAGGGACAAGGTAGGAGTGGCATCTGTGGAGGACAAGTTGCGGGAATCGAGGCTGAGATGGTTCAGGCATGTGAAGAGGAGAGGTATAGATGCTCCGGTCAGGAGGTGTGAAAGGTTGTCTATGGCGGGTCTGAGGAAGGGAAGGGGTAGGCTTAAGAAGTATTGGGGAGAGGTATTTAGGTAGGACATGTCATTGCTTCAGCTTACTGAGGATATGACCCACGATAGGAAGGTTTGAAGGTCGAGGATTAAGGTTGTAAGTTGATAGATAATAGTGTGTTCCTCCTGGGCTTACTAGGAGGTGAGGCTGGATTCACAAGTCATCCCTAGGAAGGGGAGTTTTAAGTACCTTGGGTCTATTATACAGGGGGATGGGGAGATTGATGAAGATGTCACACATTGTATTGGGGCGGGATGGATGAAATGGAGACTTGCTTCCGGTGTTTTATGTGACAAGAAGGTACTATCAAAACTTAAAGGTATGTTTTATAGAGGGGTGGTCAGACCAGCTATGTTGTATGGGGCTGAGTGTTAGCCAGTCAAGAGCTCTCACGTCCAGAAGATGAAGGTAGCAGAGATGAGTATGTTGAGATGGATGTACGGGCACACCAGATTAGATAGGATTCAGAATGAAGTTATTCAGGACAAGGTGAGTATGGCCCCTATTGAGGACAATATGCGGGAAGCTCGGCTTAGATGGTTTGGACATGTGAGGAGGAAAAGTACAGACGCTCCGGTAAGGAGGTGTGAAAAGTTGACATTGGAGGGCCTTAGGAGAGGTAGAGGTAGGCTGAAGAAGAGTTGGGGTGAGCTGATTAAGCATGACATGGCGTAGCTACAGCTGACCGAGGACATGACCCGTGATAGGAAGAGGTGAAGGTCTAAGATTAGGATAGTAGGTTAGGTAGTCGAGATTATTCATACCGGTAGTGTTAGTAGTTACTCTCGCATTTGGTTGGTAATAGACTTATTTGAATACCTGTTTTTTTCCCTGCTTCTACATGGTTTTTCGGTGTTGTCCTGTGAGAATGCACGAGAGAAAATATTATTGATTAGCTATGACAATGATACAATGAGCCCTATTTATATATAATATATGTCCTACTCCTAATACATATGGGATTAGGGTTATTTACTACTATTTAACTATCAAACTAACACTCCCCCTCAAGCTGGTGCATATAAATCATATGTACCGAACTTGTTACATATATAACTAATACGAGGACCAATGAGGGACTTGGTGAAAATATCAACAAGTTGATCATTCGACTTCACAAATTTTGTAGCAATATCTCCCGAGAGTATCTTTTCTCTAACAAAGTGACAGTCAATCTCGATGTGTTTAGTTCTTTCATGGAACACTGAATTTGACGCAATATGAAGAGCAGCTTGATTATCACACACAAGTCCCATCTGACTAATCTCACCAAATTTCAACTCCTTGAGCAACTGTTTGATACAAATTAGCTCACATGTCGCCATAGCCATTGCTCGATATTTTGCTTCTGCACTAGACCGAGCAGCCACATTCTGTTTCTTGCTCTTCCAAGACACCAAATTTCCTCATACTAAGACACAATATCCAGACGTAGAACGTCTATCAGAAGGTGATCCTACCGAATCAGCATCTGAGTATCCAACGATCTGCTCATGAACTCGATCCTCAAACAATAAACCTTTGCCTGGAGCTGATTTTATATACCGAAGAATGCGGACAACTGCATCCCAATGACTATCATAGGGAGAATCCATAAACTGACTCACAACACTCACAGGAAAAGAAATGTCAGGTCTAGTCACTATGAGATAATTTAATTTACCAACCAACTGCCTATATCTTGCAGGATCGCTAAGAGGCTCCCCCTGTCCTGGCAGAAGTTTAGAATTCGGATCCATCGGAGTGTCAACAGGTCTACAACCTGTCATTCCTGTCTCCTCAAGAATATCTAAAGCATACTTCTGTTGTGAGATCACAATACCTGAGCTAGACTGAGCGACCCCAATACCCAGAAAATACTTTAATCTGCCCAGTTCCTTAGTCTGAAAGTGCTGAAAAAGTTGTTGCTTCAACTTACTAATACCATCATTGCCGATAATAACAATATCGTCAACATAAACGACCACATAAATATAGAGATTTGAAGCAGAATGTCGATAAAATACAGAGTGATCAGCTTCACTACGAGTCATGCCAAACTCCTGAATAACTGTGCTAAACTTACCAAACCAGGCTCGAGGAGACTGCTTCAGACCATAGAGGGACCGACGCAACCGACATACAAGGCCACTAGACTCCCCCTGAGCAACAAAACCAGGTGGTTGCTCCATATAAACCTCATCCTCAAGGTTACCGTGAAGAAAAGCATTCTTAATGTCCAACTGATAGAGAGGCCAATGGCGAACAACAACCATGGATAGAAAAAGGTGGACTGATGCAATTTTAGCCACGGGAGAGAAAATATCACTGTAATCGAGTCCAAATATCTGAGTATATACTTTGGCAACAAGACGAGCCTTAAGTCGATCAACCTGGCCATCTGGACCAACTTTGACCGCATACACCCAATGACAACCAACAGTCGATTCACCCGAAGGAAGAGGAACAAGCTCCCAAGTACCACTCGTATGTAAAGCATACATCTCGTCAATCATAGCCTATCGCCATCCGGGATGAGACAATGCTTCATTTGTAGACTTAGGGATGGAAACAGAGGACAAAGATGACACAAATGCACAATGGGATGGTGAGAGACGATGGTAACTTAAACCAACATAATGAGGATTAAGATTAAATGTGGACCGTATACCTTTTCGTAGTGCAATCAGTTGATTAAGAGGAGACAAGTCCGCAGTATTAGCAGGGTCAGGTTCAGGACGTGAATCAGTTGGGCCTGATGCTGGGTGCGGACGACGATGATAAGTTAGGAGTGGTGGAGCCGTAGAAGGTTAAACTGGACTAGGTGGTGGCACTGGAGCTATAGGTGGTGGAGCTGCAACTGGAACTGTAGGCGGTGGAGCTATGGAAGAAGATGAATGGGAGATAGGGGCTGAATCTCCAAAAGAAGGAACTGGTGGCACCTCAGAAATATCTAAGTGATTAACTGGACCTGTGAAGTATGATTGAGTTTCAAAGAAGGTAACATCAGCAGACATAAGAAATCGCTGAAGGTCCGGAGAATAACATCGATATCCCTTTTGCGTTCTCGAGTAACCCAAAAATATGCACTTAAGAGCACGAGGAGCTAACTTATCTTTTCCTGGAGTAAGGTCATGAACAAAGCACGTACTCCCAAAGACACGGGGTGGAAGAGAGAACAAAGGTAAGTGGGGATACAGGACAGAGAATGAAACTTGATTTTGGATAGCTGAAGATGACATACGATTAATAAGATAACAAGATGTAAGAACTGCATCTCCCCAAAAACGCAGCGGAACATGAGATTGTATGAGTAAAGTACGAGCAGTTTCAATAATATGTCTATTCCTTCTTTCAGCTACCCCATTTTGTTGGGATGTGTACAGACAAGATGTTTGATGAATAATCCCATGGGAGTTCATAAACTGCTGAAATGGGGAAGACAAATACTCTAGGGTATTATCATTACGAAATGTGCGGATAGAAACCCCAAATTGATTCTAAATTTCAACGTGGAAGGTCTGAAAAATAGAAAACAACTCGGATCGATTTTTCATCAAAAATATCCAGTGCACCTTGAATAATCATCAATGAAACTGACAAAGTAGCGGAATTCTAAGGTAGAACTGACCCGACTAGGACCCCAAACATCTGAATGGACTAAAGTAAAAGGTGACTTTGCTCGATTATCAAGACGCCGCGGGAAATGGGAGCGGGTATGCTTACCGAGCTGACATGACTCACACTCTAGAGTGGACAAGTGAGATAAGCAGGTACATTTTCTGAAGTTTTGATAAACTGGGATGTCCTAACCGTTTATGTAATAAATCTGGTGAATCAGTAACGCGGCAAGTTATTAGAGGAAGACAAGATGCGAGTCCATGTGATTTTGCAACGATAAGGTAATAAAGTCCATCTGATTCACGTCCGGTACCAATGATCCGCCCTGTACTGCGTTCTTGTATAAAAAAAGGTCATCAAGAAATAAAACAACAGATTTAAGGGATTTGGCTAAGCGACTAACGACTATGAGATTAAAAGGACTACCAGGAACATAAAGAACGGAGTCTAAAAGTAAGGAAGGAAGTGGACTTGCTTGACCTATTGCAGTTGCCATGGCTTGAGACCCATGGGCCATTGTGACTGTTGGAAGAGATTGAGAATATGAAATACTAGTGAAAAGAGATTTGTTACCAGAAATATGATCAGATGCACCTGAATCAATGACCCAAGACTCAGCAGGTGAAGATTGGGAGACACAAGTCATGCTACTATTTGTTGGAACAACGAAGGCTAATCCTGAAAATGGATGTTTACGTGCTTTGTACTGAAGGAACTCAATATAATCCGGTAAAGAAACCATCTGGATGGGATTCAATGCATTGGACCCAACGGATTGTGAGTTAAAGGTTTCCGATACGAATGCCATTATAATATCGTGCCGGAAAAAACAGAAATTTTCTGGGGATCACTGTTCACGCCAGAAAATCACTGTAGCTTGCCGGAAAAAACTCAAAGTGGTCGGATTTTGATTTGAACTAGATGGGTAGACTCGGAATTGTGAGGAGAGCAAGCGGTCCTAAAGCAAGCGCGTGGGCGTCGGAGCTTCGCCAAGAAATTTCTTCCGGCGGCGCGTGGGGGGTCTTCTGACGGAGAATTTTTTATGGGGTGGTCGTCGGAGGCCGATATACTTCGTGGTGGTGTTGATTTTTGCACAACACTGAAGAAAAGTGGCTTTTTGTTATGGACAACCTCTTAAGTCGCCGGAAAATTGCACGGCAACGAGGTCTTTCTTCCCGGAGGCCACTGGAATAATGCACAACGATAATTTTCTCACTGAAGCTCTGATACCATGTGAGAATGCACGGGAGAAAATATTATTGATTAATTATGACAATGATACAATGAGCCCTATTTATATATAATACATGTCTTACTCCTAATACATATGGGATTAGGGTTATTTACTAATATTTAACTATCAAACTAACAGTCCCGTATTGTTTCTTGTTATTATTGTGGTACCTATGCTTACCTGAGCCAAGGATCTATTGGAAACCGCCTCTCTACCTCCACAAAGGTAGGGGTAAGGTCTGCGTACACACTACCCTCCCCAGACCCTACTATGTGGGATTATACTGGGTATGTTGTTGTTGTTCTTATTCATGGTTCTTTATTATTACATGCTGCCTCATTCGCGGCCATTAGCATATTACGTTGTTATTATTGTTTGTTACTTGGTTGCTTTATCTCCACCGTTCTTTGAGCCGAGGGTGTATCGGAAACAACCTCTCTATCTCTATAAGGTAGGGGTAAGGTATGCGTACACACTATCCTCCCAGACCCCATTTATGGGATTACACTGGGTTGTTTGTTGTTGTTGTTGTTTATTTTCTTAGATTTCTTTAAAAACTTGATAATGCTATTTGGAGAGAGATAGACGTTTGATGGTGATTTGCAAAATAAAAATTTCTTTTTGACCCTTTATTTTGAGGGTAGTTATTTCATACTCTTGTCTGAAATGAATTTTTTTCCAGACTTCACATGGTTATTTAGGGAAGAGTTGAAAACAATGTATCCTTTAGTATTACTTGTGTAAAATGTATGCTGCTTACGTTGTTGGTATAGAAATATGGAGTGAAAAATTAATTGGGAAGAGTAAATATGAGTTCCATGCAGTGTTTTCTGTTATAATGTGCCCTAAAAGTTTCTAGCCCCAGGGCTTTGGTCTAATGATAAGAGCACGTGTTGTGTGGGTTAGGCTTATGTCACGGGTTCGAACCCTGCCACATACAAAAGCTTGGTATTTAAGTGGAGAAGGGTAGAGGGGCAGATCCATTATCTACCAAGGTTTGAACCGTGCACCACTGGTCCTAGGGAAATTCTCAGTTATCAAAAAAATGTGCACTAAAGGTTTCCTCTTTAGAAAAAGTAGACACTATTTTCATAGAACTCAACTGAAGAGGCAAACAGTTGATTTGATATGGGTGGAAAAGTTGACAATGAACAAGGAACTTGAGCCACAACAGGAATTGCTGGTATGTGCGACACTAGGTCACAATTCCAGGGAGAAATAAAATTCTCTATGTTTTTCACTTGAAGTGCTTACATAAGACAAATGGGAAAGATAAAGCAGTCAAGAAACACGACTTTTTAGAAGCATGAAGGCAAGGGAAATTACATTTGGAAGACAACTCACCTGTGTAATATTTGGACATTTTGGAGAGAAAGGATAGTAGAACCTTAGAGAAAATTGGAAATTCATCTCAAAGTTGAGTATACCTTTTTATTTCATTTGTATTTCTGAGGTGATAAGCATATTCCAGTTTGCATAGATTTTTTGTATGTTTAGTAAACGACTGTACATACACTTATCAAATACAGTAATGGATTTACATATTATTATATAATACATGTATATTGTGACATTTATAAAACTACTTTTCAATTATCAAAAGAAAAAGGAAACAGAGACAAAATTGTTTAGAGGTATCTTTGTTACTTTCTGAATATACTAAGAGCTGCTAATTATGATTGTGCAAACTTTGTACATAATAAAATGCTACGTAACTACAAAACTTGCAATCTTTAAAGTTAGTTTGTTTTTATCTTCTCTTCCATTTAATATTTGATTTGCAGTGTTTGTTCCTTTACTTACAGCTAAAAATTACTTATAGAAAAAGCTACAGCTCCTTCTCTTCAATTCTTTGAGTGGAATCTGAGAATACCTCCTCGTAAGGTCTTCTTAAAACGGTCCAACTTACAAGTGATTAAACTAATCTTCATTGATGATTATATGCCTCCTTTGTAGGTTGATGATGTTCCACTTGAAAATGTGCCTGCTGTGATTGGTGACTATGAAATTTGCGTGGTTAAAAGCTTCCGGATGAACTCCGATGTCCTCTCTCGTGCAAAGAGCATGAAACTCATAATGCAATTTGGAGTTGGGCTAGAAGGTCAACTATCTTTTTAGTCTGTCTTTTTGCCTTTTGCCTTTTGTTTTGTTTCGTTCTTTTATCTTGATATTATTTTGGCAGCTGGTTCATTCTAATGAACATATTTTGAGGTTTCCAATTGCCTAAATATTTGATGTTATGCAGGTGTTGACATTAATGCTGCTACAGAGCATGGCATTAAAGTTGCCAGAATTCCAGGTGGTGCAACTGGAAATGCTGCTTCATGTGCTGAAATGGCCATATATCTCATTTTGGGCCTCCTGCGTAAGCAAGTTGGTAGATTCTAAGCTTATAAATAAAAGGCTTTACTTCTTCTGAACTCTTTGAGGATAAACATGTAGGATAAATTTTTATTTTCTTTCTCCATAAAGTTGATAATTTTGAATGTATAATCGCCATTTGTAAGAATAATTACTGCAGCTTGGTCGGCAATCTGTTCATTAGTACTTGTCTGCTTGAAACTTGTTTATATTGCTAATGAAAATGAACTCAATGGGATGGATAAGACAACCTGGAATCTCATGATATATGAAGTGAATTTAATTTAGTGGTCCAAAAAGTGGGGTGTGAGTACCTAATTGTGCTTGCTAATTCATCTTTCTGGTTCTAGAAGTGAAAGTATATACGTATAGCTAATGTATATGAGTACTACGGAGTACCATTTGTTCTCATATAAGCTACTCTGTTTTCCCTTTTCACCTGTATTCCTCAAATGCTGCAGCATCAACTGAAAATTTCTGTGGAGCAGAAAAAGCTAGGGGAGCCAATTGGTGACAACCTGGAAGGGAAAACGGTGAGTTTCACTTTTTGTTACTCCTATTTATCTGTTATCTGGCATTTGGAGCGCTCTAGATGTGTTTTTGTTCCCATTTTCATCTCACCTCTTGTTTTTGTTTTTATACCGTTGCAAGATATAAAAGTGCTTAAAACTTTTGAACTAAATAGAAAGGTACGCTCGATAGAATCAACTAATTTGTATACAGTAGTTACAAATGCTTCATTCAAACATGTTTACTTGACAATTAGCTTATTATTAAGGTAAATGGGTATATATATATATATAGTAATATGAAGTGACGATGCTAAAATTAAGTTGCATATATATAATAATGGCTGTGATGATGGTATAAGAGGCCCAGGATGGTCTTAGGATTAAGTACCTATATGGTGTTCAAACTTTTTCTATTTCACAATTTTTTGCATACGGGTATCTTATACAAGTATCTAAAATTTGGTACTTAGAAAGATAATAGTGGTATTAATTAATAAAACTTGAGCCGTTAATTTTAGAAATGTTGCTAACTTCCTCATCAAAAGGGAAAAAAGAAGGAAAGAGATGTAGCTAACTTTTTTTGTACTATAAACCTATAAAACTTGTATTTCATTTTGTAGGTATCTTCCTATTGCATAGCACCATTGTAACACTCCTCCATTTGAACCAATCATATTCGATTCTATGCGTTGCACCTTCATCTATCATGTCATTTTTTCAGGAAGAGTGAGCCTGTATATCTGAATTGTTTAGGTTCCAGAATCCTGCCTACTTATCCAATAAAAAAAGGTTCCAGAATCCTGCCTAATCAGAACTTCACCTTCATCCTTCTTACGGGGCAAACTCATAGTGCATATTCAAATTTGCTACCATCAAGTGGAAATTCTATTGGATGAATAAATTGGCCTAATAGTCTCTGTAATATCACAAATGGAGACTTTTATGGCATTGTTGTGGGCTTGAATATATTTCATGGCTAAAAACTTGTGCAAGAGTTGCACTTTGACGACGTCTTAGATATTTTCTGCATCATCACATAGGTGTTTATCATGGGGTTTGGCAATATCGGGATACATTTGGCAAAGCGTCTACGTCCATTTGACGTGAAAATACTTGCTACCAAACGGAGTTGGTCCAGGCATGCTCGGGACTCAAGCAAATCTGAGGGTAAGAAAATCTTGTGAATTCTATTTATTTCTAAAATGTTGATATTACTATGCGTGCTATCTTTCCAGCACCATCTGCTGAAAATGGTAGCTATGATGACCTGGTTGATGAGAGGGGAAACCATGATGATATCTTGAAGTTTGCCAGCAAAGCTGATATTGTTGTATGTTGTTTAGTTATGAACAAAGAAACTGTAAGACCCCCTTTCTTATTGACTGGTTACACAATCATGTGCTTTATCAATATTTTTTGTCAAGCTTATACTTAAAGATATGCTGGTCACTTGCAGGCTGGCATCGTGAACAATGATTTTATATCTGTCATGAAAAAGGTTTGCGTTCTTCCTCACTTTGCTAAGTGGACATCTCTTTCCAGAAACAGGGGGGGGGGTGGGGGTTTGGAGCTGTATTATTATTCTATTCTCTCACGGTGGGAATCAGTGAAGAGACTGTCAGATTACCTCAGTTTGGCAGGAAAAAATACTGGCATCCCTTTTTCTTTTTCATAAGTCATTTGATTGTGTTCTAGGACATTTATGATTTATCCCATTATTTCTTGCACAATGCAAGTCAGCGCACTAGCTCTGATTAAATGCTTGATATTAACAGCTATGGTTATGAAACTATATTGATGCAAGATATAGGAAAATTGTTGGAGCTATTAAGTTACATAATATTTCAGTCAACAAATGCTACCTTTGTCATTTTCACTAAGTCATATAGGTTCTTAGTATATCATCCAATTATAGAGTGTACATGTGCATATGTTTGTGCCTCTCTCAATTTTCAAATTGACATTTATACATTGTGTATTAAGAGTTGGTTTAATAGCTGTGCATATATATGTATTGCTAATGCATGGTTACTGTCAGGTAGAGCGCCTTGGTCTAGTTATGGGAAAGGGCAGAGGTTGTGTCGAGGCTATCAACTCACCGCCTCAGCTAGTGGGTGGAATAGCCAAAGGAATGCCAGTGAATTATGAAGGAAAATCCAACTTCCGTGTGATGATCATAAATGACTTCGAGCTGATAGTTGGATTGGAATTCATGAGGCAAACCAACACCATTCCTATACCTTATGTAGATATGCTACTGATGATGGGAGCCAACGGGGCCAAGCCCCGCATTATCCCATGCACAACCATAAAGATAGCCGCGGAGAACATCTCGGCCTTGCAGTTGAAGAAGGGAGTCAAAAGACATGAACCTACGTTCCTGGCTACCCTCTGTATTGAAGATATTGAACGCTCTTCGGGTCCCATTCCTTCTCCCGTGAAGGAGCTGCTAAAGGAGTTTGAAGAAGTCATGCCATAGGACATGCCAAAGCGACTCCCGCCTAGGCGCACTGTGGACAGATTGAGTTGATGCCGGGTGCTAAGGCACCCGCCCGGGCACCTTACAGAATGTCACAACCCAAACTCGCCGAGTTTCGGAGACAGTTGATGGAAATGTTGCACACGGGGATCATTGTGCCCTTCAAGTCCTATTATGGGTCCCTTGTGCTATTCCAAAAGAAACAGGATGGCACCCTAGGACTCTGTGTGGATTATTGGGCCCTAAATAAAATCACCATGAAGAACAAGTACCTTATCCCGCTAATGGTAGACGTGTTCAATAGGCTGGGTGGTGCTATAGTGTTCACCAAAATAGACCTGAAGACAGGTTACTGGCAAATCCAGATTGCTGAGGGAAACGAAAACAAGACGACCTGTGTGGCAAGATATGGGTCGTACGACTTCTTAGTCATGCCATTCGGCTTGACTAATGCTCCAGCCACATTTTGCACCGTGATGAACCAAGTCTTCCGAGAGTACATTGACGAATTCATAGTGGTCTACTTGGACGACATTGTGGTATATAGCAAAATATTGGAGGAACACCTGCGGAAGGTCCTAGCCCGGCCGCGGGAGCACAAATTATATGTAAAGCTATCCAAGTGCTCCTTTGCCCAAGAACATATTGACTTCCTCGGACATGTCATCGAGGAAAGGCGAATCAAGATGGACCAAATAGAAAATTCAAGCTGTCATAGATTGGCTGCCGCCGAAGGATATACACGACTTGAGGGCGTTCCTTGCCCTCTGCAACTTCTACCAGCGGTTTGTAAAAAATTACTCTCTCATTGCAGTGCCGCTGACAGAACTCCTAAAGAAAGTCACGCCATGGGATTGGGGTCCCAGGTGAACGAAAGCCTTCAAAGCATTGAAATCGGCTATGTCTAGTAGTCTCATCATGGCCCTTCCTGATTTGGCCAAGCCATTTGAAGTACAAACGGATGCCTCTGATTATGCTTTGGGTGGAGTCTTGCTATAAGAGGGGCATCCAATTGTGTATGAAAGCCGGAAGTTAAAGGATGCAGAACGGCGATACGCCGCCCACCAAAAAGAATTATTGGTTGTCATCTACTGCTTACGCCTTTGGAGGGGCACTATCTGTTAGGAACCCCGTTCGTCGTCAAGACGGACAACACGACTGTTAGTCATTTCGTTACCCAAGCCAAAGCTGAATGGCCGACAAGCCAAATGGCAGGAGCTCCTAGCAAAATTTCACTTCAACCTAGAGTACCGAAGTGGGAAGACGAACCAAGTTGCTGATGCACTTAGTCGGAGGGCTGACCTAGCATCAGTGTGCCTACTTGCCACCCTAAAGGAGAGCGAAGTGGCCCCCACTATAAAAGATCAGATACGGGATCTGCTCACCAAGGATTCTGCTGCACAGTATTTGGTTGGACAAGGCAAGAGTCGCCGATTGTACATGGAAAATGGGTTCCTGAAGGTGAAAAGGAACCGACTTTATGTTCCTAAAGTAGGAGATCTGCGAAGAACTCGTCTAATGGAATGCCATGATACTTTGTACCCCGGCTACCCAGATGAAGAACGCACCATGGCGTTGTTACGTCGTGCTTATTATTGGCCTCAAATGGCTGATGATGTTGCTCAGTATGTGAAGACTTGCCTAGTATGCCAGAAAGACACGTCAGACCGTTTGACACAAGCGGGACTTTTGGAGCCATTGCCTGTTCCAAAGAGACCTTGGTAAAGCGTGTCACATCAGCGAATTGCCCAAGGTCGGAGATCTTACAATTGCCCAAGGTCCGCCATTTTGTTATCGGATCGCAGAAGAATTGGGTGAAGCTTCTGGATGCTGCTCAACTGTGTTTCAATTCATAAAAGAGCTCTAGCACAAACAGAAGCGCTTTTGAAATTGTTACCAGACAACAACCCCTACTCCCACACACTATGAATGCCCCAAACATGTCGAAATCTCCTCGAGCTGCTAGCTTCTTGAAGGAATGGAAGCGAAATTTAGAGATAGTGCGGGCTATCTTGTCAAAGCCCAAGAGCGGATGAAAAAGCATGCTGATCAAAATCGTCGCTTTGTTGAATATCAAGTAGGAGACACTGATGGTGAAAATCTCAAAGCGATACTTGTTTGAAGGGGTCCATGACCCCCGCCTATTACAAAAGTACATTGGACCATTGTCTATTGAGAAGCGCATTGGGAAAGTTGCATACCGGGTAGATACCCCAGCCTGGTGTAAGATTCATCTAGTCAGCCTTTTGAAACCTTTTCGGGAAGACATGGATGATCCATCACAGAGCCAACTCACAATACACAGTATTCGAGGTCCGAATTCAATCGAGAAAAGGCGTGCAGAAGCTATTCTCGATAATCGAGTGATTCATGCTTCAAGAAAATATCACCAAGAGTTCTTGATGAAATGGCAGGGCTGTGATACAGAAGAGAGGGGAATAAACCTCAAAGCCTGATCGATGATTATCTTGCAAGTAAGGCGCCGAGGATGTCGCCTACTCAGGTGGAGGAGAATGTCATTGACGGCTTTCCAGCCATACCCCTTGGACCCGCCCCATGGCGTCCTGGCAAGCCTCGCAACGCCTAACGCCATGCACGGTCCCGTGGCCTCGGCCGTGCCAAGTGACAAGTGCTCCTGGGCTTATGTCGCCCCACCGATAACCCTCGCCAGCGCCCAGCCCCAGGCAGATGCCAACAACGTCGCACACGCAGACTCTGATGCTAAAGACAAGGTTGCCGCTAACGGACTTGCTTATACCTTGTAGATATCTAAGTCCTTTTTATTGTAAATATAAAGTAGTTTTACTTGTATTTCCATTACGTCTTTCTAGCTTAGTTATGTCAGGTCCTGTAACTTTGGTTTATTTTTTTTAAGCATTATTAGGGGGATCAAGTAGTCAAACTTCCAAGCAAACAAACAATTCTCTGTATTGGTGTCTCTCCCCCTCGACACCGCGCTGCTTTTTTGTAATGGCTTTCCTTAATGCAATCAAGCTTTCTTTCATTCTCATTCTCTTTTTTGTTCTCTCAATTGCTCTTGATATTGATTTTCCTGTACGACATTGACAATCTCGTCTAGCGTACGAAGGGGACTCCAGTTGGCAGATAGTAATCACACATACATCGGTTGCTTAGCCTTATATCGCCCTTCCAAGGAATCTCAGAATTACAATCCGCCAACTGGGGTCCCCTCCGTACGCTTGACGAGACTGTCAGTTCCGCATGGGAAAACCAATGTCAAGAGCAATTGAGAGAACAGAAAAGAGAATGAGAATGAAAAAAAGCTTGATTGCATTAATAAAAGCTATTACAGAAATACAACACGGTGTCGAGGGGGAGAGACACCAGTACAGAGAATTGTTTGCTTGCTTGAAAGTTTGATTACTTGATCCCCCTAATAACGCTTAGAAAAAATAAACCAAAGTTATAGGATTTGACATAACTAAACTAGAGAGACATAATGGAAATATAGGAAATAAAATTACTCTATATTTACAATATAATGGACTTAGGTTCCTACAAGGTAGCAGTAGGTCCGTTGGCGACAACCTTGTCTTTAGCATTAGACTCTGCGCCCGTGGCGTTGTTGGCATCTGCTTGTGGCTGGGCTTTGGTGAGGGCGATTGATGAGGCAACATAGGCACAGACACGCTTGTCACTTGGCGTGGCCAAGACCACGAGGCCGTCCAAGGCATTGGGAGGCTTGCGAGGATGCCATGGGGCGCGTCCAAGGGGTTATGGGGCATGGCTGGAAAGCCGCCCATGACAACACACAACTTATATATCCACAATTGCAGTTCATATACCAGAAGAGTTCTGTCCTTCAGAGCTCACTCATCTTTGCTGTGTACTTGCAATCCCATAATATATTAATTGCTAATGAGACATTCACAAATGATGTATCTTAAGTGAGATGCATTCTCATTATTTGGCATTTCACTTTCTTATCCTATTATTTAGGCATGTTCCATCCAAAGTTGGGTTCGTTTTGCAGTTTTAAACGGCTAAACTGTTTGAAAGAGTTTTCTTTGTAAAAGGAAGTTTTCTATGTTTTGAAAACTTTTGTTATTTAGTGTAGTGTATTCTCTCATCCACTGTGTCATCAACCACTACATTTTGAGAAAAATCTGATGCTTTCCTTGTAGAGTCAAAATCATGTGAGATGAGAATATGTTGCTAGTGCATCACGGTGTATGTTACTGTAATTCTGCTCGAGGTTAGGCTATCATGGTTGAGTATTTTTCTGCTAACATAACACAAGCCTCTGGCTTTCATTTTATCCGATCAGGAAAAGGTGAATGTCTTCTTGAACCTGGCAATCCTACGAACCATAGCAACCATCTAGCTATCAAGTTTCCCAATCCAATTTATTGTAGTCGTTCTTGATATCAGTGTACGTGCAAACAAAGGTTTTATCCCCC